TGCACACTGAGCAGTGGTGGAGGTGAATTACAGTGCACACTGAGCAGTGGTGGAGGTGAATTACAGTGCACACTGAGCAGTGGGGGAGGTGAATTACAGTGCATACTGAAGAGTGGGGGGTGAGTTACAGTACACACTGAAGAGTGGGGGGGGTGAATTACAGGGCACACTGAGGAGTGGTGGAGGTGAATTACAGTGCACACCGAGGAGTGGGGGAGGTGTATTACAGTGCAGACTGAGGAGTGGGGGAGGTGAATTACAGTGCATATTGAGGAGTGGGGGGTGAGTTACAGTACACACTGAAGAGTGGGGGGTGAGTTACAGTACGCACTGAGGAGTGGGGGAGGTGTATTGCAGTGCACATTGAGGAGTGGGGGTGTGAATTATGATTCTTGCCAAGGACTGGGGGTTATAGTGCATACTGAAGACTGGATGGGTTGCAGTGCACACAGGTGTGGGGGTGTGACTTACGGCTCTCGCTGAGGACTGGGGGGTCACAGTGCACACTGAGCAGTGAGGGTGTGACTTACGGCTTTTGCTGTGGACGGGGGGGGGGGGGGGTTACAGTGCACCCTGAGGCGTGGGGGTGTGAATTACGGCTCTTGCTGAGGACAGGGGGGTTAGCCCTGTAATCAGGGCTTTTCCATGCTCCCTGTCATTAATAAGGCACCACTTATGTGGCAGTACCCAGCAGGCCCGTCATGCTGCCGGCGACCTTATCCACTTCCCAGGCTCTGTCCAGCCTTGGGGGCTTTTTGGGGGGGAGGGGGGGCACAGAGAACAAGCACCCGCACAGGAATGGCGTCAGCTCTGAGGTGATGGAAACAAGCTTGTTTGGAAAGCGGTTGAAAGTGGACTTTCTATTTCAGTCCTGACTCCAGTCTGGATGTTGGAAAACAATCCCTGGTGGTAGGGTGGGGTTTGGGGGGGCTGGGGGGGGCTGAGGCCCAGCTGCCGCCAGCGAAGAGGGAGTTTCCTGTCTGTGATTCCGCTACCTCACCTAAGCAGCTCTGTACTCCTGTGAGGGATTTTGCAACCTTTCATTTACTATATAACTGGCAAACGTGTACAGAGACTCATGAATTGAAATTTACGTGTTACAAGGAAATTGAAAACACTTTGGAAAATGAGTTTAACTCTTGAAATGTTCCTTTTGTTCAGAAACATCTCCTGAGCCAGGAAACCTGGCTTCTGGTACTTTCCCTGGTCCTCTCAGTCTCCCCCCCCCACTTTACTAGGGGGGGACTCACAGATCTGAGGGCCCCCCATCTCTGGATACTGAACGCAAAAGCAGCAGCTTGACAACTAAATTTACCAGATGATTCAAAATAATTGTTTTTTGTGTCTCAGACCTTATCAGCAGTATTGCATAATTATCAGCGATAGGAGAGGACACCACAAAGAGTTAAATATCAAGCCTGCCTCTCGTTTCAGCGTCTAATTCACTTTTTTCCTACTTGTGAGGCTCATACAGGATTTCACTGCGTAGCTCCTGCTGAGGAATGTTATCATTCAGCTCCGAAAGTCAGACACAAAAGCCTTCCCGCGCTGGAAATCGCCGAAGATCCTAATCTGTCAACTGTGACTTTCTCTGCTAACTTTTGAAAGGGTTTCCTTAATCAGGCCAGGTATTTTTAGGGAGTGTAGGAGCAGCGTAGCGTGACCCCAGGGGAGCATGTCCATTTTAAGAACGCGTAGATCTGAAGAACAAGCCTCCATTGCCGCTATCTGCTTGTGGAAAGAGCGCAGCGGGGAAACAGCAGACCCCGCAATCTGCGACGCGCTCCACTGGAAACACAAACAAATATTTGCAGGAAGTTGGAAAGAGGTTTTTTTTGTATAATCCCTCCTTTATGTAGTAATGAAGACAAATGACAGTGAACCATAGTGTTACTGCGTAAACCAAGTCCTGCCTGGGGCAATAGGGGGCCTTATAAAGGAGCTAATGACCCTTGATACTGACTAGAGCCCAGATTTTGCCCCCCCCCTGGCCCCAGTATTCTGTTTGGCCAAAGGTTCTTTGTCCCCCGCTGGACGAGTTCCCTTTTTTCTCGTCTTCAGAAGCACTTCTTGTGCTGCACAACTGCATCCATCAAATAGTTATGCACTTAAAAATGGACAGCAGGACTGTTCTCGTCTTTCCCTCTGAAGCGCTGGTACCTGTGTGGACTTACGCGTATCTGGTTACTTGCAGCCGGCTCAGGTTGCTGTTAATGACGCCGGGATCTTTGGCGTGTGAGCGGTATGAGGCATTGATGCTAAGCCGGGAGAATGCACCCCGAAACAGGAGACAGATGTGCTGGTGGATGGGATAAAGACAACAGAACGCGCAGGAGAACACGAGGAGAGGTGTCGCATGCTCAGACGTTACGGGATTACATGGAGCCAGTCAATTTCCCCTGTGTTCCCAACCCGTCTGGATTAGGAATTAATGGTCCCAGTTGGTTCGAGGCTCCCAGTACACGCCACCCCCACCACCTCACAGCAGGGGTTTAGAAATACGCTCCCCTCACGCCAGTGGTTTGTCCGAGGGCGTGTGTGCGCATACCCATGGGGCCAGCCGACATCGGACCGCGAAGCCGTCTTCCTGCGCTTCCTGCCGTGCCGCCTCACTTGCTAGATCGGTCGCTATGAGCCAGCTGGATGAAACTGAACGCTCGCTCTTCTAAGTGCACCGTGCTGCTTCACGCACCAGTGGTTGGCGATTAGAAACGTGGCCCCTTCACACACACTGGGGTGCTCTTGTATAATTGTATAATTCTCCATTGTATGTCAGCCTGTAGGGTCGTTTTCTGACCCCATAAACCATGGCCTTCAGTGTCTGTTCTGGGCAGCTGTTTGGAAACCCCAGTCCTGCTCTTAGAGCGGATAGTCAGTTGGTCGACTCGCCATGATCTCTAATTACACGATTTAGCATAATTAGCTGATTAGCAGGTTCCCGGGATTGAGTGCAGCATTGATGTTGTTGTTGCCCTGGGTCACACATTTACACTGAATGTGCCATAAGGAAACAGCAGGAGTTGAATCAGAGTCTGGGACGCAAATGGACACATCTGAGACAGAGGTTGCACTTTTGTGTGCCGGATACGGCATTATTAATCAGTCCCAGATACATGTCACATTAGCTGAGCTGGTCACCAAATTTTGGCAATAACATACTTTCCTGGTGTCAGATTGCATTGGAATGATTGTGAGGTCATGGGTGCAAGCATGATAGGAGGCCGAGGGGATGGGCAGGGGGTGCAAGTCTTTTTCCTTCGCTTATGTACCGTATTTTGCCTTGGAAAATAGATATTGCCACATAGCACTATGAGGTGAAACTCCTTATCTGGCATTTTTGATATAAGCAGGGAAATGTGCTTTTTAAACCCGAGCGGCCTCATCGCCTGACAGCACATTTGATTTCAGATGTTAATTAGCCTTCATCAATCCTGCGCGTAGGCCCCTCTTGGCGTGGGACGACGACAGCAGACATCCGGCGCCCCTGATGCATTTTTGGCCCGAATCAGCCCGACATTCTCGGGCTGGCCTCGGTTCTGTAAAAGCCTAGCAGCCTGCTGCTCTTTGGTTTCCACGGTCACCCGTTGTGCAGATGAGTGACCTGGAAGGGATGGAGCAGGAACCCCGCCTTAACATCTGTACTCCCCCTCCCCACGACAGACTACCGGACCGGACCGTGCTTCACGCAGGTCAGCAACCAGATGTGCCAGGGCCAACTGAGTGGCATCGTCTGCACCAAGACGCTGTGCTGTGCCACCATTGGCCGCGCCTGGGGGCACCCCTGCGAGATGTGCCCCGGCCAGCCCCACCCCTGCCGGCGTGGCTTCATCCCCAACATTCGCACCGGCGCCTGCCAGGGTGAGTCCCCGTCTTCCTGCCTCTCCTTCCCCATGGAGTGAGCCTCGGCCCGCCGGAAATGGAGTCATGGGTTCTAGGGTGCAGTCATTAAACTGTCCAGCAGGTGCTCCCCTGTCTCAGTAGAGCCCACCCAAGGCATAAGGGAGCTAAGCTGTTGCTTAGGGCCTATTGGCCACCCAGAGGCCTCCATCCGATTAGCTTCTCGGAATGGTTTGCTTAGGGCCCGCAGAAAGATTGGGTGGGTCCTGAGAAGGATTTGGCGGACCTTGAACAGGATTGGG